ATTTAAAGCAGAGGAAGACTCGGTCGGCTCACATTCTTTGGGAATGAAATCCTCAGAAAGGAATTCCACTGGTTTCCTGCCAACATACAAAGAATGTGGAGCCAGAGAGCAAAATAGGAAGTAATCACAAATGTGAAGGTTGAGGTTAATGTGACATGAGCTGGAAAAAAAATACAACCTAAAAACCCCCCAACGTGACATTTGTGTGTTTTTAATTATCGAGTTTACAGACTCAGCCGGGTTTTTTTCCCCTCATACTGAATTTTTTTAATATATTCTCTTCTAATTGCCAAGCAGCAGCTCCAGTCATGGAGAATTCAGAGGATGTTAGATTTTGTTAACATCACTAATTATTTGTAAACAGAGCAAAGAAGCAAGAATTCTTGTAATTAATCTTAAAAAGACATCTTTAAATGTGCACTGTCTGTGACTTGGTCCTTAATGCTTGAACGCTGACATTAGCATCTTTTGATTCCACTAAATCCAACACATTTCACCCACACTCTTCACCTGGCACACAAAGGTTATTTTGATGTAACCAAAAGGTCTAAAAAGGTTCAGTTTCACTTGATATTTAGCTCTAGCTTTAGCATGCTAACAATGTTAACACATTTACAAGTGAATATTGAAAAGAAAAAGTTCCATGTTCCTGTGTGCTAATTCATGTTGCATTGCACTTGAAACAGTATTCTCAGGGAATGGCTATTTACATCTGATATCAACACTGACGGACACACTGACAATCCCATTGTGATATACGACCCCCGAAACCGGGTTGAGCCTCGACCTTAATGACATAGCAGAAGACCACACAGCTAACATGATAAGAGTGCTAGGCTAATTGATAGTCCCTCACATGCTAGCTGGCTCTGTTTCTGTAATCAAAGCAAAGTAATGTTAGGCTTCTGCTGTTCAGTATGTGACAGTTTAGGGTCATGGAGGGATCGGCGTGGGTTCCAGAGAAAATTTGGGGACAACATGGCTAACACAGGTTAGCAACTGCTGTGGTGAAACATGGCTAACACAGGTTAGCAACTGTATTAACTGCTGTGGTGAATCATGTTTCCTATTACTTTGTCTCACAAGGAAGTTTGTTGTTAATGTGATTCACTATGTAAGGAGACAAGGTGGGAGTCTGCAGGTCATACCTCTACTCACTCCTTTTCATGTATCTATGTATGTATCAATCAATCAATCAATCAATCATCCACCCAGTAGATATAAGGTAAAAGCCATGATGTAGATCTTGACTTGACAAGAAAAGTCAGGGAGCGGCCGTCATTGTGATCCATCCCCGGAGTCTCATCAATCTCTGCACCGTGCTTCGCGACAATCAACGCGGTGGAGATAATTCAGTCTGAAAGAACGTAATGGACTGAGCACAGTCTCACTTCTTGTGGGTGCAAAACAAATCAAAGTATATAACACTGTAATGGCTGCCGCTACTGATCTTATCCGTGTTTACTGTCCGCTCGCGTCGCAGTATCAGAGAAATGGTTTTTTATGTGATTTATGGCTCACATGAATGCAGCATATCTGCACTTTGAATATGGTTTCAGAGGAGAGACGTTTCTCCTCCGTGGTCAGAGCAGTCTTTCGCGGGTTCTGGCTCTTGAACGGTGGGGGCGCGGGGAGGGGGCTGGACGCTGACCTTTGTTGTGTAACAGCCAGCATTAGTGTGTGTGTGTGTGTCTTCATCGCCTATACCTGTGAGTGCTCGCGTGTGTGACGGAGCAAGCTAATTCGCCGGGAGAGCGAGGTTAGCTCGGACCATTTGGGAGGCTGTCTCTGGGGAGAGACGTCGCCGCGAACTCTCATCAGACAGACGACAGCTACACCGGCTGCTCTGCACGCTGCACACTCATCCCTGCCATGATAGCCTCCCTGCACAGACCATATCTCTGCTTCATTTACTCATTGTCTGATAATAACAAGTGTCTCCTCTCTGCCATACTCAATTACATCTTCATTAGCTGGCTAACTGCTTTAAAACACACCGGCGGTGTGTGTGCGTGCGAGGGTTTCGAAAGTCTGCAGTATAGACGCGGATTTAAAACGGCGCCTCGGTCCACGTAGGTGATGTGGGCTACGAGCTGATATTTATGGGCCTCCACCTCCGCCTCATCATAACTTCAATTCATTTTAATTTATCTGCTAATGGAATCAGTTTGCTCATCATTTACTGTGTTATCTAAACAAGGCAACTGGCAAATGTGCTGGCATTTTCCTTTAGTGCGCTGTCAATCAAACACCAGCCTCACTGTAATTAGCTGGTAAACAATGGCTGAGGTGTTCCCACAAGACACGCTGATATATTACACCCCATCCCGCTGAAGAGAAATCTAATGAAAGACGGGGTATGGGTTTTTTTTTTTGTTTTTTTTATCTCGTCTGTGACTTTTCTTGTACCACGTAACGTCGGTTAAGACGGTAGCAGCGTGTGGCGGCGCAGATACGGATCTCAAACGTCTCAGTTAGAACTCAAACGTACTGTAAACAAAACCACAAAGTGGTAAATTCTAATCAAATGCCTTTCGGTTTTATCTTTACTGCAACAGCACGCTTCCCACATTGTTGTCGCAGTTCCTCACCTCCACTCTTTGAAAACAGGATGTGCCTTTCATTTGAGGGAGTGCCATCACGCCGAAGACAACTTTGTTATTTTCCGGGAACAGCTGTGGCCTCAATCAGTCATCCTCGCCTTTCTCTGAGTGGAACCAACAACACAGGAGGAACAGGTTACTCTATACCACCCCTGTGTATTTTCAGATTGTCTGAACCTATTTTCCCTCTCGCTCTCATACTGTTATGCTTCTTTTCTTTACGGTAATTTTAGATTACAAGCCCTTTTTGTTCTTCACCCTTCTAATCCTGTCTCCCTGAGATTAGCTGCAGCGCAGAGTTCAAAGCCCAGCTGAGCTGTTTTTCTCTTTTAAATAAAAAAATAAAAATAAAAATGTCCCTGTACAGTGAAGGAGCCGCGACTTAAATACCCGGCCTTCCTTCCTTTCGCCGCTGCCACTGACATTATGTCAAAAAGCCAGGTCGGGCGCAGAGGTCTATCCATAATATATCACAGGAGCTGCTGGTATGGAAGGACGACTGTATCAACAAAGTGTCTGGGGATTTTTAAGGAGAAAACAATCAGAATTCCATAAAATGCAGAACCGCCTCTGAGTTTCCTGAAGGCCAAACTTTTCCCTGTACTTTAGAACGCCTCAAAACACAGTGTTACTGAATAATTACTGTACTGTAAGCCAGTGGATTAGGCCGGAGCTGAAAAATCCTTTTTCTAGTCAAATTGAAAGTCCGAATACAAACGCAGTAACTTTAAAGGTACAGACCTTTATTTTTAGTCGATGAAAAATCAGAATGATTCCAGTCAAATTTGTCTGAATCAAAAGTCGAAAGTGTAAGTAAAAAATAACAAACGTACATTTTCAGCAGTACAGGAGTAGCACATACTGGTGCAAAGGCTAGAGTGCCCTCTAGCGGCTGTAAGTGTGAAAACAACAAGCATGTGAAATTATATATTATATAAGTCGCACCAGAGTAAACGTCGCAAATGCGGCCAAAGGATGAAAAAAGTGCGACTTTTAGTCCGAAGTATGTAGTTCTTGAACAATTACAAGAACTACATACTGTATGTATGAGAGAGTGAGAGACAGAGAGACAGAGAGAGAGAGATACGTCCATGTGTAAAGCCATTATATTGGAGAAACATATTGTGGCCCCATAACGTCTCCTTTGAAGAAATATGGCCCCTGGAGGAATCTGGCTTTGGCAGAGAGTATATTGAGTTTTCTTTCTTGCCCAACACTTTGACATGCAGACTGTGGGGGCCTGGGATCGATCGCAACTTTCTGATTAGTGATACACTCTGCTCTATCCCCTGGAGCCACCGCGGCTCCAGCTGGAGGCGGTGTGCTTAAAGATTTGTTGCCTGTTCCTTGAAGTTCCCTCATTTTTTAGCGGTCGCTGCGTTTTGCGTTTTCAGCTGGATTACACGGCCGACGACTGTCGTCAGTAAAAATCACAGGTCACATGTGCAACGGCGCCGTGCAACCACAGCAGCTCTCCTCCTCACCCCTGACCTGCTTCCTTCTACACTGCGTCGCTCTGACAGCAGGGGAGAAGACACAAAGTCCTCGCCGACGTCACAGTAAAACAACAGTACAAGAGAAAAGTCAAGCGAGGTAAACAATGCAGATTCCTTCCTCTAGTTCAAAGCTGGGGTTGGTTTTTTGAGGGGGGTTTTTTCTCTCTGTGTGTGATGGTTGATGTCAGAACTCCAGCAAAAGAGTTACTCATAGCACAAATGAGCATTGTTTCCCTCAGCGGAACCTGTGACACACTTCCCCTTTTCTTGCCCGTCTTCACATGGTCTCCGAGTTAGATGTGCGTTTCCTGATCTGATCTCTATTTGGCAGAAGTGAAACTCAAAGCAAAACCAGAACAGACATACAGGAAGCATAGGTACAAACAGAGAGTGAAGTTACAGCAGCTGCAGCGGCAGAACATCGAGGAGATGCTGAGGGTGTGGGTAGACAAGACAAAATGTGTTGTCAGTACAGTCGCTACTGTTTCCTTTGGAAAACTTTCAATAGTGTCTTTGTGTCGCAGCTCAGCGCCGTCTCTGAAAAATGCCACCAGATTAAATTCACGTCTGTCGGAGACACTTTTCAATAGAGTCAACGGCTGGAAGGAGAGAAACTCCTCTTTTTGAATTATACCTTATTGAGTTTTTTATGTATATATGTTTTTTTATGTAGGGTTATGTATTTATGTAAACAATAAGTAAATCACTGTGACTTCCAGTGGCAGGGGAGTTAAGGACCAAGGCTTGGATTTCTTTTGTTTCTCTTTTGAGTTTTTTTTTTCCCACCCTTGAAGCACACGTCAGGGGACAATGTGCAGATGACTCACTGTTTTTTTTTTTTTATTGTCTGAAAAATACAATAAAACATTTAAGGAAAGAAAACACTGCTGGGAGTCGTGTATAAGATATAACAGTGAATTAGATCAACGAGAGGCTTTATTTTTTATGTGCATTCGTCTGTACAACATTTTATAACAAAACAAAAAAAATATTCACAAAAAAATGTACAACGCCGAGGTCGAAACAAAAAAAAGAAAAGATTTTTGACAGCAGATCTAAACGTGTGGGATTTGAAATGTGTTAACAATGAACGCGCCTGCTGTCGTTTTCAACAACAAATATGAGACACATTTTTAAAATGACAATCTGGAAAGCTTTTAGTTGCATTTTATGAGAGGTGGTTTTTATGTGGCATTAAAACGAATCCTTCACTGTTTTTCCTCTTTCACCCAGATGGATGCAAGTTTTCTGTCTGAGTATTTGTTCCACGTTGTGAATTTGATGCTGCAGGGACATTAGCCTGCCGCCTGGTCACTGCGTTGCCAAGGGTCTGGAGGTCTTACTTGCATTTTGGAATTGAGTTGACTTTTTTTATTTTTTTTATTTCTGATGTTAACCTTTTCCCCCTGAGCTACCAGGGGAGCGTTTGCTCCCTCAGATCTGCTCTGGTGTAGATCTGCCTGTCTGCTCGGCAGTAGCCAGCCATGTCGCCCCCGGCCTGTTTCCCCCTCGTTCTTACTCTCTCCCCCTCTATCTCTCTCTTTCTCGTCACATTTCTGCAATAGAAAAAAAAAGAAAAAACACCAATGCTCAAATGCCAGAAGATGAGAAAAGGCACACAGGCAAATTTAGGACTCAAACATGCACAGAATAATAAGTTTGGGTTTTGTTACAATATTCACTGTTTCAGTTTAATGAGAAGAGAGACGGGGGAGGAGGGGAGAGGAGAGGAGAGGAGAAATGAACTAGATTAGACTGGACTAGAATAGACCCATACCCAGAACCCATCTAGACTATGATAGGACTATATTAAAATAGAATGGACTAGACCAGATTAGACCAGAATAGACACAAGAATATAATAGACTAGATTATAATAGTTTGGCGGGCCGGATTAAAAACCTGAATGGGCCACATCTAGACCCCGGGCCTTAGTTTGCCCATGCCTGGTTTACATAGAAGAAGGGTAAAAAAACAAGATGGCTACCAGCGGGACACTCGCTCTGGATTCTCCGTGGCTACAACTACACACCGTAACCTTCTACCTGGTCAGTTAACATGGAATATGTACATAATATGTAATATGTGTAAATACAAACCAGCAAGTTCCCGGTCCAACATGTCGATAAAACTCTCGAGGTCTCGCGTGTCTCCCAGCTTGGCTGCAGAAACAGAATGAACAGAAAGAAAGGAAAATTGAGAAACGTTTAGAGGGAGACTAATACCAGGGAGTATTACTGTCAAAATATGCAGTGGTATTTTCTTTGGACTAAATGCTGAGAAACAAAACTCTGTGACAGAAGTGAATACTCACCAAACCGCTTTTGAAAGGGATCGAGTTTATCTTAAAGAGGAAGTTTACAGGTACACAGACGTAGACGAAACCACGAATTACAGGTACTCAGAAAGTACTGGAAGAACCACAGATTATTTACCCGCTGAATTACAGGGATTTTCTTTTTTTTTTTAACTCTACACATAAATCGGTGGTCCAAAAGTGGGGGGCGGGTCCCTCTTGTAAGTCTTTGCCAGGGACCGCAGCAGGTCAAATTAATCAATTTTAATGCTTTTTTAAATTGGATTTGTAATTTAGTTTTTTTTTTAGTAAGAATATCTGTTCTTAGGAATGACTGAAGAGTTTTAAAGCAGTGGCTGTTGTTCTTTCTACAAAAGGGGGCGCTGCAGAAAAGGGTTGGGAATATTTAAAAAAAAAAAAGACATTTACAAAATTTCCAGCAGTTCGAAAGGGATTTTTTTAACCTATATATTTACCATGTATTTGTACGCAAATCCCACAGAAAGGAACTTCAAATGTTGATTTAAATTGGTATGAACCCATTAGAATATAAAGACTACTCCTCTGAGTGCCTTTATATCAAATAAAGGCGGTCAGTGCATTAGCATGCACAACAGAACAGCTTCCATTCATTTACATGGACACATGCCTGAGCCACAAGGTAGCAGCACAAATGACCCCTGCATGATACACGGAAAGGAGGGGGACGGGGGGACGGGTGAGGCCGAGACAGAGGAGACACAGCGGCAGGGGGTTTGTTGTGTGGAAACAAAAGCGCTGCCGGCTTTTATGCAGGGAGGTTTTTGTGTTGTTGTGATAGTGATCTGAGCAAAAAAGAAAGAAAAAAAAAAAGATAGTGATCGGCGTAAGAACGAGGGCTATGTGGATGAAGGAGCCTGCAGTACCTTTTGGTGCCAGCGTTACGCCTGCTGTGTGGAGCTCCTCCTCGCTGGTGTTCAAACTGTTTCCCAGAGAAGCTTCACTGCCTGGAGGGAGGCAGAAGTGGGGAGAGAGTCAGAGAGGAGATCATAAACAGGAGACGAGCACTAAGGCCAGCTGATGCAAATGAACGAGAGCAGCGACGTCGAGTCATTTGGCGCTAACGCAGGAGTCCTGCGTTGTGATAAAAACACGTACTGCAGTGAAGTGAAGCCCTTCGCCCTCAGCAGCTCCCGCGTGACAGCTTGTGAAAGCTGAATTTCTCGTGGAAACATTGGGGGGGCCAAAATACTTTCAATAATGACGGCACGTGGGAGCGAAAAAAACACACTTTTGTCTTTCATCTGGTGGCCGCGGACCAACAACACAGCAGCCACCAGTGACAAAGCTCAGACAATTACTAAAGATGGATTTTTCCTGCAACGTGGGTTATTCAAGTACGCTTCCATTGTCATGAGCGAACGTATAAGAAGTGTCCTCGTGTGGCCTCCATTTCATGCAAATCAAAAGCACCAGGACGCACTTGTTTGGACTGATAAAGTAGCTGAACTCAAACCCACGGGGCCTTGGTGTTTCCTCACACAACAAACCACAGTAAATGACTGTACGTTTCCCTTTGGTTTTAAAACTCTTTACTAAAGGAGAACGCCGGGCGTAATCCACAGCGACGCCGTCGCCTCGTCGTTACTCACTGTAATCAGAGTCTTCCACTCCGCTGTCATCGCCCTGCAACGTGCGACACTTGGCTTCCTGCAGCACGTGCTGGTAGGCGTGCGGTTTGCTCTGAGAAGGGGCCTTCAGCTCCTCCACCACATCCTGGAACTCCTGCAGCAGCTCCCCCAGCTCTAGCTCCAAGTCTGTGGAAAAAGTGACAAGAGTTGGAAAGAGGGCACACAACGGCAGTGGAAGAAAAATGTGAAGAACATCCGTAAAATGGCCGAATCTCTTTTTAAATTGTAATTACTTAAGATATTCACAAATATGGTGACTGGGGCCACTATGACCCAGAACTCCACTGTACGTAAAAATGTCAAACCCCCAACCTATTTTCTTAAAACAATGGAGATATTTTTAGAATTTTATTTCCTGCTTAACAAAGCAAAGCTGTGTGAAATAAATAACAGGGCTGTGCTGTGTAGGAAAAAATAAAGCAAAAAAAGTGTCATCATCTTTATCTCCATGACTTCATTACGACTGCACTCGCAGTTTTGTTTTAATGATGACGGATAACTTCAATAAAGACTCTGACTAGTCGCGTTGTACTTACAACAATTACTCACAAAACACCTACAGTAGAGGCGACGCAGCTAGATAAAAAATATATACACACATATACGCAAATACACTGTATATACACCTATATAAGTATATGTGTATACACATATATATACAGACACATATATACATGTGTATACATATATAGACTTATACACATATATGTGTATACACATACAGTATATATATATACACACATATATACATATATAATACACATATATGCATATATATACACACATGTACACATATAAACATATACATATACAGATACATACATATATGTATATACACACACATATGCACATACACGTATATACATATACATACATATAGATAGGTAGATATATATATACATATACACACATATATACTGTACATATACATATATATACACACATACAAAAGCGCATAGAAAACTACTGCCTCCCTCAGCTCCTAACTTCTGTGCTCACTATTTTCACAGGCCTACAATTACCACCCGGGCATCATCATCATCATCATCATCATCATCATCATCTTAATATAAGCCTTTTGGACTCACCTGTGCTGACGTGTGAAGACATGATGGATCAGACGTTGAAGTATCGGCCTCTGCAGCTGCGTGTGTGTTGGTGTGCGCGTCCGTCTTCACTTTTGTTATAAACTTCTCCTCAGTCGCTCTAAGTAAAGTCTCGCACCACCCCATCCTCTCACGGATGAAAAAAAAAAAAACCCCAGAGTTCCACTGTAGTGTCAGTGGAAAAAAGGGTGGGCGCAAAGTTGAAGAGGAAACCATACGACACTCGAGACGCTCAGACAGACACAAGACGTTATGCAACTGCGCTGGTGCGGCATTCTTTCCGCCCTCTCGCTGTCAAATAAAAAGTGAAATTCTATCTGGAGTTTAAAAGTTAATTTTCCACATTTTAGTGGGCTGTTTCCCGTGGGTTTATCACGAGCGACGAAGCTTAGGACGCTGGTAACACAGAGGTTTTAACAGAGGAGCTCAGTCAGGTTTATAGAAGAATAAAACTGTGGCCGTGTTATAGACTGGGTTGCCAGGTCTGACGAGAGAAACAAGCAACTCAGTGAAAGTGCTGAAAACACTAATATATAAATATAGATAATGTATATGTATACACCAGTATAAAGATACTTGTTACAGAAATATCTGCTTAAATATTCTTAGATTTTAATGGGCAATTATAGAGTAAGAAACAAAGAAATACCAGCAGGTGATTTTTAGGTATTATAGAGTAAGAAACAAAGAAATACCTGCTGGTAATTTTTAGGTCATTTTTGATAAAAATTAAAATTAAAAAAAAAAACATCTGACCCTTAGGGCAAAAACAAATAAAGTAGACTTACAAATATGACGTCCCATATCCACGGGGGCAAAGTAAGGAATTCTGAAATGATACCAAAAAGAATCATGTTACAGTAGGTTGTAGGTTATTGTAGGTTACAAGTTTGAAAAGGTCATCATTAACGAAAGGTTGATCCAATAACTGCTGCTTGGCTCAGCGTTTGTAACTTGGACTTGATTTATTAACTGTTATCGCGCTTTAGGGCCATAAATTACACTGAGAAAAACAAGCGCTTCATAAAACCTGTTGAAATGACGGTGATGTCACCGACTGTAGACACACCTGGTTTGTACCTGATAAAATGTATTTATTTATGATTGACTCGATTTGGATGCAGTCAGTTTGAATAAAGTAAAAAAAAAAACAGTATGAAAATATATATTTCAGCTGTATATGTCAGACTACTTGGATCTATCAACAGAGGTCTCATAAAAAAATATTTACAAACATATAAACACACACATACATGACATGCATATATGCATATACACACAGAGACACAAATAAATATATATATGTGTTAATATATGCATGTATTTAAATATAAATATTTTATATATTTATATATATTTACATATATTTTTAGGTTGATTGAGTAATATTTAAACCCCACTTTATCAAATTAATTTATGCTGTATATTCATTTATTACATGTCTGTCAAACATTTATTTGAAAGTCATTTTTCCCCCCAGTTATCAGCACCGGAAATTATAAAGGCCGCACACACAGGTTTTCATATTGTTAACATAGTGTTTGATTTATTAAAACACACACGGGGCTAAAACAAATAATCATCAAGGTAAACAGAAAGGAGGTGGCAGGTGTGGTAATAAAAACAAGGTGTGTAAACACATTTGGTCTTGTCAGATGAATCCCGTTGTCCGGCGTTGTGTGCTGAAGCCCTGTGCTTACTCGACCTTTTATCCTCTGCGTGTTATGAAAAGCGTGTGGGGCTGAGGGAGGTAAACCTGTTGTTCCCCTCTGACTTCTCCTGTGTCAGTCTCACGAGATAAGTGTCGTAGGAGGGGCGTGTCGTGAATTGTGCCTTCAGCGGGGCAGGTTTAGGTTGCCGCCGCTGTCCTCGGAGTTTACTCGCTACTGGGGAAACTTGTGTGACGCGTGAGGGCGATGGGTCATGGAACGGCTGATCAACATGAACTGGGCCGGACGACTTCAGGTCAGTGAGCCAGAACTGGGCTGAATTTAGTTTGAACTTCTGACTACAACTCCCCTAGTGGTACTGGGATAAATATGTTTACACCTTATGTGTATTAAATTGCTATATGTATATATACTTATACTGTATATATCTAAATATACTGTATATGTAGACACATGTACATATACATGTACAAATACAATTTTTAAAATACAGGCAATATGTGTTATATATATTTGTAATATATTCATAATTTTTGAGCCGATGCTTCGTCACATCGATTGCACGTCTATTGTTTTTTCCCTTTTTGTATATTAAGATAAATATGTTTACCTTGTGTATATTGAAATTGCTATATGTATAAATACTTACACTGTTATATATAATGTATATAATGAGTGTAACAGTGTATATATATATATATATTGTATTTGTACTTATATATAGGTACTTATAAATAAATATACATTTATATGTACATATTTATGTACAATATGTACAATACAAATACAATACAGACTCAACACAACAGTATCCTGTTGTGTTTAAAATAGTTTTTTTTGTTCTGATGGTTCTGGTCACACCAATTGCATGCCTATTGTTTGCCTTATTTTGTTTGGAGGTGTAATTGATTGGACATAAGTGAGCAGCATCACATTACCGTGACTATACAGTTGCATGCTTCAAATCACTGGAGCGTGAGGTTTCATCCACCTGGAACCAACCGTTCTTGTACGACTAAAGTTCAACGCTTTAGTGGGAGGGGAAACTCTGAAGCTCAAATAAAAAAAAAAAAAGAAAGAAGAACAAATATGTACTCACTCTTTCTCTCCTCTCTCTCTCTCCCACCAGAATCTGCTGCTTTTGGTCCACCTCAGGCAGATCATATGTGGCCAGGTCCAGTTTTCTCTCCAGGAGGAGCAGGAACCTGGTACTCTAGTTGGGTCACTTAGGAAACACTTTCCGCCTCCGTACCAGCTCCTGACTCAGGACTACTTGCGGGTGGACGGAGACACGGGGAACCTCTACACCACAGAGCTGAGGATGGATTATGAGGACATCTGCCCCAGGGAGACAGCCGTGGAGGAATGCAATATTCTACACTATGCGATCGTTGGACCCACAGAGGAGCTCATACAGTTTCCTGTGATTATGGAGGACATCAACGACAATGCACCTCATTTTGAAAACAGTGAAATACACCTGAGGATTTCTGAGGACGTTCCTGTAGGGACCAGTTTTCCATTGGACGACCAGGCTCAGGACAGGGACGCTGGACGTAACGGCGAGATCAGATACCATTTAATGGATTCTGATGACATTTTCAGTTTAAGGGTTGAAGATGAAGGACAAGTCATTATGCTGGTGGTGGAAGCAGCCCTGGATAGGGAGACTCAGGATCTGTATCAGATGGCTCTGGTGGCGACCGACTGTGGCACAGACCCCAGAAGTGCTACGGCAACTTTGATAGTCACCGTGACAGATGTCAACGACAACTGCCCGAGCTTCCACTCGGACAGCCCTCGTCATGTCACCATCCCTGGGGACTCCTCGAAGGACACGGTGGTGGCTCAGGTCAGAGCCACAGACCCAGACGTAGGCACGAACGCTGCCATCGTGTATTCCCTCAGTCCCAAAGTCTCTGAGAGGGCCAGGAGCCTCTTTAGCCTGGACAGCCTGACCGGGTCCATCAGGCTGTCACAGGACCTCCACAGTGACAACTCTGAGGAGCTGCTGTTAAAGGTGTTAGCTAGCAGCCATCACTGCCCCCCAGCAGACACTCAGGTAACTGTAGCCGTGCTCCCTGAGGCAAAACAAGAGCTGACACTCAAGATGGGGTTCATAGTGGAGCATCAAAACCAGACCTTGGTGATACTGGAGAACCAGCCTCCCACCGGCTTAGCTGTTTTAGAGCTGGAGGGTGACAGCAGCTTTAAAGGCTCATCTCTTGCCATTGAGGGTGAAGTGCCGTTCACTTTGAGCCCACAGAACGGCAAATATCTGCTTTCCACATCAAAGCCTTTAGACTACGAGATGAAAAGGGAACATCACATCACTGTGGTCGTCCACGGGAGATCAGGGGAGGTGTCGACACATATTCCTTCCAGGCATGTGATCAGGGTGTTGGTGGCAGACGTCAATGACAATGCTCCGTGTTTCCTGCAGTCTTTCTACCAGCTGGAGGTAATGGAAAACAACCAGCCGGGAACGTCACTGCTGCAGGTGTCAGCCTCGGACGCAGACAGCGGGCAGAACGGCAGAGTGACCTACAGGCTGGACGGACAAGCGAGGTCCATCTTTTACCTGGACCCTGCCACGGGTCAGCTGTCCGTGTCAACGTCTCTGGACAGGGAGGAGCAGGCTGACCACAAGCTCACGGTGTTTGCACGAGATAGCGGCTCCCCCGCCCTGGAGTCCACGGCCGTTGTGTCTGTCCGTGTTCTGGACCAGAATGACAATGCACCAGTTTTCATAACCCCTCACTTCATCTTTTTCATCCCCGAGGACGTAGCTCCGTCCGCCCGGGTGGGACAGTTTGTGGTGACAGACCCAGATGAGGGGCAGAATGGACACACAGAGTTGCAGGTGGTTAACAGCAATGGACCGTTTGTGGTGGATAATACAGAGGGGACGCTACGGACCACCTCCAACCTGGACCGTGAGACAGACGACCACTATGAGCTCTTCCTGTTGGTCTGGGATCACGGACATCCAGAGGCTTTGACGTCCACCGCCAGAGTTACCATTATTGTGGAGGACATCAACGACAATCAGCCAAAAGTAATCTTCCCCAGCAACAACATGTCGTGCCTGACTGTCTCGCCATCTGCTGCAGCCGGGACCCTGGTGACAAAGATCTACGCCGTGGATGAGGATCTGGGCCTGAATTCGGAGATTACCTACACCATGGCGGCACCAAAGCAGACGGCTGAGACCAGCAGTCCCTTCCACTTAGATTCAAGGTCGGGCAACATCACGTTGGTGGAGCAGGTTCTGGAGAAGCACCTGGGAATGCACCACCTCTTCATTGTGGTCAGAGACGGGGGAAAACCCGTTCCTCTTTTTAGCACAGTCTGGGTAAATCTGCGGGTCAACGACAGCACGGAGCCCTGTCGTTTGGAGAGGGAACCCACCTGGGCGGGGTCACCTGACTTGATTCACACCCCGCTCACTGCCCCCATGTGTGAAATAGAGAGTCCAAAGTCAGCTCAGCTGGTGCTGCTAGCGGGCGTGGGTTTAATGCTGGCGTCAGCGAGTTTGTTTCTGGTGACAGCGCTCTTGTACCTGAAGCAAAGGAGACAAAGTGCACGTCAGAACACGAGGGGGACAACGGAGGAGAATAAGATTCCTCTCAGGCTGAAAGAAAAATATTACAGCAATGACTGAGAAAATAAAGCAAGCCATGTGTATCGTGCTCACTCATTCAGTGTCACAGATAAATGCAGTCTGTAAAATAAAAGTCCTCTGGAAAAAAAAAAAGAAAAAAGAAAGACTGTCACAGGCTTCTGGCATTTTAATGATCAGATTAGTTGAATTATTCTGACACTCACTGTATTCAAACATTTGTCAACAGCAAAGCAGAGGGGATTTTTCCAGGGAAATAAAATTGATCCATTTTCTGATAAAGAGCCCTGTAAGCTACCAGGGAAGCAAATAAAGCGGGAGCTGATAAGTAAGTATTTGATGTTTCCACCAGAAGAGACTTGTTCCCTATGCTTTCTGTCGAAATTTGTTCAACGCCATAATTTGGCCGTGGCGAAGCGTACGGTATCACACACTCCAGCGCAGAGTCTGGTGTTAGGCATCAGTAAATTGACAGTGTTCCCATTCATATTATAAGGGATTATAGAGCCAGATGAAGAGTGAATTATTGGACTGCTCAGGTGACGGGGCCTCTCCCAGAGGCACGGTTAGAATTCAGAATGAATGAGGTGGAGTTTAAACTATTTAGACACACAAATGGGTTGGATGTTCCTCCATTGGGGCCCGGGGGGTGAGGGGAGGGGGTGCTCAGCTCAAAAAGAGAAACCACAGGAGGCAGACAGAGACTGAGGACAGGTGAGAGGCAGCCGAGGGAAGGCACACCGCCATCTCAAGTCACCGCCTCGCACCTGTCACCCGATAGCACCGCTTCTCACTCGCAGCGCTGGAACTCACCCAAAAAGTCTGCAGTACAGCCAGTGGAACGACGGGTTTGTTGTTCTGATAACAGATGTTTGGAGCCAAATCACACGGTGTTCAAAGAATCCTCCACAAAGGCCCGTGGCTTTCAAGCGTTACTGATACCTTTGTATGCAGTGGAACAATTGAGATATCAAACCAGGCTAAGTGATGCGTTAAGTATGAATGAGTCGTTGAGGGGTTGGGGGGGTGGGTTTGGGTGGAAGAGGGGGTAAAAATGTGCTCACAAATCTGTGAACGCACAATTACAGAAAGCAGGCGGATGACTTGTTTTCGCTTTTTGAATTAAAACAATCAAATTTTCCTTCCAACTTCATTTAAACCTAATAATGTGAGCTCTGAGGAGCGCCGGCGACGGAGAGCGGGAGGGAAAAACTAAAGATGGAAACCTGTTAAACACAATGTACTACAAGCTGGTTAACAAAGGTACAGGCTGTCAAGGCTTGTACAACACACAAATGGTGTCTCCTCGTGGGATTTGTCATCTAGAAGCTCTGAAATTAATATTCTTGCCTGGGTTTTAAATTATTACTCAGTCATTCATTCATCATCTATTAACGGGGCAGGGGTAGGTGAGGTCAAACCAGTGGGCATCAGATGACACTGAAGGTGTACACCCTGGTTTACACCTTGGGACTGCCATTCACACATGCACTTAAAACTAAAGTTATTGAGTGTTGCCATAATTAACATGTCCACTCATCTAAACCTGCAGTTTTTATTTGGAGTTTTTTCTTATTATTATTTTTATTGTTAATGGACTATGAGCAGAAACTGGAGTACCAGGAGTAACCACTAGGGAACCTGCAACCTGATTATATCAAACGAATGATGTATTATTATTTATTATAATTTATCAATGTTTGTCTGTGGATCAATTATGTATTTCTGATCATTATTTAACACCAGGGATCAAACCTGTGACATCCCTACTGTAAGGCCTAAGTGATTTTTTTTAAACAATATCACATTTAGATCACATTTAGACACGTCCCCGGGTGACGCTGTCTTTCCTAAAAAGAAAAAGGACAAGAACTGTGGGGAATTATGCTGATGCTTCTGCTGTTGCAGAGAGACAGTGGTAGGAGAAAGTCTGCCATCTACTGGGCGCAGGCAGAGCCAAATCTGGGTCTATTTCTGGTACTTGGCCACAGGGCGGAGATGAATCAGAGGACGGTCTCTCACTCTGCCACACTCAGGTCGCCGAGTTTAGTGATGTTTCCCTGCTGCACGCTGCTCTGCTCCAATTATGGCACATTTCCCTTTAATTTAATTAAATTGAATTTCTCCGAGTACAATGTTTTGACTGTGGGTTTTTGAGGTTACGGTGGCAGACGTGGACGAAGAGACCAGCTGACAGATACCAGGGGAATTACAACCAGGGAGAAATCCGTCTAATTAAAATACCAGTTTTCCCTCCTTTATTAGAGATTCCTGCCCTCTAACTAGCCATGTTAAATTCATTAATGCTAATCTGAGCTAACCAGGCATTCAACGTCTGGGAATGACACTTGAAGCTTGCTAAAGGAGCAGCTCAGGTCCAAATGGACTCATTGAGGAGATAATAGATAAAGTACATGTCGGTTTTACCCAGTGGAATGTCAGACTATTTCTGCTCATCTCTGACTGGAGTCAATTTGACCAAATCAGACCAGTTTCCTCAGACTGGAGCACACTGCCAGGCTGACTACGAAGCTTGAAAGGTCAAATATGTAGGCACTGGTGACCCCTAATGGTGAGTCAGCCTATTGATGTATTAAAAACCAGCCCACCCCTGTGAGTCAGGAATAATATTGCAAAGCTCTTTCCTTTTTAAAATCCAAACACATACCCAGCTGCTTTCCACACAGCACTTCTGTTTACAGAGTACTGTCAGTAGGCCGGGGGAAATAGTACTTTAATTGGACCAAATTTTCTGTGATATCTTAACGCCACTCAGTTGAGTTTTTTTTTTTTTTTTTTGCTTTACTGGTGATTGTTGTAAGCTAAAAAATATCATTACAAGTGCAATGCAACATACAGGACACCAGTAATCTTTAAGCCATTTTTCTTTAATAATTAAAAATAATAAAATAAAATAAAAGCAGAATTGAAAACACTAGCAACATATTACGGAATGTTGATTAAGCTATATGAATCGTGATAAGTTACAATTAACAACATCAATTGAGATAATTCCATACATAGCTACACTGTGGTTGATTACAGTAAAATTTTACATCTAGAGATGTCCGATAATATCGGCCGATATTGGCATAATTGTCGTTATCCGTTTTCCTCTAATAATGAAAACCCAATAAGGCAGTGCCTGGGTTTTGTCAAATGACATGTACCCTACAAAGTGAAAGTCACTAGATGGCAGCATTGCAGATCATTTTATTAATCTTTTTAAATAATCAGGGGGTTGTATGCAGAATGCTGGTCCCAGCAACTCATACAGTGGTTTGTACAGATAACTAAATACATAAATATTACCAGACCTATATCGGTATCGGTCGATATCGGAATTGGATATTGAGTGTTTGGACAATATCAGCACACTGAATATCAAATATCACAGCAAAAAGTTAATACCGAACATCCCTAATTACATCGTTGACAGCCATGATAATTGTACATATAGAAGTTCCACCCCGCGATGTATAATTCAGGTTTTATTTATTTTATTATTCATCTGACTGTAAACCAGATTAAAAAGCATAATTCGGTGATGACCAGCTCACAGAGGAGACCTTCTACTCTCTCACTCTCTATGTCTCTCAATCCCTCTCTCTCTCTCTCTCCCTCCTTGTCCTTCATTTGAATAAGTTGCTCTCTTCGTGCATACATGCGTCAACAATGAACCAAGTCCATTTCCACGGGCCTATAGGAACCTTGAGCTGCGTCCTCATTATTCTGCTCCACGCAGTTCATTGAAAAGCGACATTGTTTCTTTAAGATTGCACTTGCTCTCATCCGCGCCTCTGTTCATTGTTGGAGGGGAGGGGGGGGGGGTATGCAGATAGAGAGTTTGTGATTGATATACGGGGGCCGCAGACAAGTTGTGCATCAAATCAGCGGAGCAGCCGCAGAGCAGGAGGCAGTGAGAGTCAACAAGTCCGCCAGGCATCCTTCCAAACATGGGTAAGAAGCTAAGCTTTAACCGACACTGACTTTATCAACTCATCAAATCTGAATTACAGCCTCATACAGAGGGAGAAATTATTCATTCAGCGGGGGTTTTTGTTGTGTTTTGTCAGTCTGAGGGTCGGCTACTCACCGGCTGATGCTCCACTGATATTATGACATTTATTTCATGCATGAGATGACAGGGTTACTTTCCGAGGAAGCCTTGTCGCTTCTGCTTTCGGGCGCAATCTTTCTCCATTTTTCACGAAGGGAGCCCCGGCCTCTGGCTCCGCATTTTTCCAGGCCTGTATTTTCAGTCGAGCCGCAGCAGACAGTGAGACAGAAACACAGACGCGGTGAGATGATGTCATTAATGAGGTAATTAGTACAAGGTGTGTGTGTGTGTATAAATGAACGTTCCTAATGAGTGTAGGTAAGATCTGTGAAGCTCGGCTCCTTTTGTCTAATTTGCATGTGTATGAGTGTGTGTGTAATAATTAGCCCTGCGTTAATTGAACAATGGTGCATTAAAGTGCCTGTTATTAACTACACTCTGTGTTTAAGTCGTCTTCTCTGGATGAGAGTTACATGCAGTTTCCCTGTGTCTGTCCCTGTCACTTACAGACAGCCAACACAGTCATGGAGACGAGTTCAATTAAAGAGCCATCCATTTGTGTGTGTGTCCCCCTCTCCCCCCCCAACCTCCTGCCATCTGTGTTTACTGTAATGGTACCAACCACAGTCTGCCGGCTCGGTGTGTGTGTGTGTGTGTGTGTGTGTTGGCTTGTAATGGCACTCACACATGTTGCATTGTTTGTTCACAGATTAGATTGTTTTCTCGCTCTTCCTGTACAGACAGCTCCCCACTATCACTCCTTGTGGTGTGTGTGTGTGTGTGTCAGGCGTAGAGGTACCTCTGGCCTTTGTTTGCTTGACATTGGTGGCCCTTGTACCCCCATGGTGGCGCTGGACAAAGACTGTTGTCTCCGCAGTCACAAAAGCAGCCTCTCTCTATCTCTCTCTAACTTTGTCTCCCCTCGCCGTCCTCCCCCTTTTCTCACACGCTCACGCCGCCTGGTGAATGGAGTCAGGGTGAGAGCCAGGGTCAGAGCAGACACATCTCAGTGCCTTTGGCCTTTGGCGTCCATTCAGTCGGCACATGATCATTGGGGAGAATGGGGAGAAAAAAACTTTCAAGCAAATTGAAGCCCTCACAGCTGCTGCAGGGAGAACCACGCTGATGAAGTGAAGTGTGGAGTCAATCTGAGTTTCTCTTTAAACCGTTGGTTAAAATCTGCAAAAGCAAAGAAAGCCCCGACGTTCTTTTAACTTCATTTAAGAACGTACGTACAGTCCGTTTTACTTTGATATGCTCATTAACACACAGAGATAATAATCTCTGAAATGTTCTGCCATCATCTCGGTTTAGTGAAATATTTTGCGCTCTGCACGGCATTTAAGTACAGCAGGTTCTGGTTCCCAAAAATAACTTCATCCTTATTGTACCTTTACTTCCAACGAAATAGTGCAGTAGTCTGGAGGTGAAAGTAAAATCGGATATATGATATATAGATATATGTATGTGTATACATGTATATATATATATTTGAAAATATATGGGTATGAATATATATATATATATACAT